AGAGAGAGAGAGAGAGAGAGAGAGAGAGAGAGAGGAAAAAAAAAAAAAAAAAAACCTCCGACGAATTGCGCGTAGAGCCCGACACAGTTCTCTTTCTCATTTTGGCCGGACGTTGTATACTAAGGAACGCAAATGAATCTTTTGTTTTTGGGCGGTTCTCTCTCTCTCTCTCCCCCCCCCTCCTCCCCCCTCGTGTTACTGACCCGTTCAATTTCTTTATTTTTATTTTTATTTTTGTTTTTTTTGTTTTTTTGTTTTTTTGTTTTTTCATGTTCATTCTTAACTCGGTTCTTCAACTGCGACCAAATGTTTGATGGCCGACCCCACCGCGTTACCTGACATGACTCGAAGTTCCAAGTTGTGAAAGGTACTGGTGGTCCAACCAGTTAATTACCTATCGAATATGGACAGGACAACCTTTCAAGCCTTATTCTATGACTATTGTAGTATTGTGGGGAACCCCGTAGCAGCCACATCCATGTTCAAGCCTCCAACGAGGGAACATGCGGAGCTACACCCACCAGCAGGTGCGACACTTGCTACAACAGGTGAGCGATTCTGGCCAGGGTTCCTACCTAGCATGACTCAGAGTTCTAAGTCGTGAAAGGTACTGGTGGCCCAACCAGTTAATTAACTATCGAATATGGTCAGGACAACCTTTCAGGCCTTTTCTATGGTCATTGTAGTATTGCGGGGAACCCTGTAGCAGCCACGTCCATGTTCAAGCCTCCAACGAGGGAACATGCGGAAGCTACACCTACCAGCAGGTGCGACACCTGCTATATCAGGTGAGCGATACCGGCCAGGGTTCAGCCATTAGCATAAGGACCGAGCTTCTGCGATGGGCCATTTGCAGGCGCCAATCTTTCCCAGGAAGGTACATGAGGCCAACGGGGATTGAACCCAAGATCTAGGCGTCAGGCGCCAAGGTTGCCCAGGAAGATACATGAGGCGAATGGGGATTGAACCCAAAACTCCTTGAACACCACTTGCGTGCCTTACCAACTGAGATACCCCCCTCAACATCCGTGCCGCCCTCCCACCCTCCAATAATAAAGCTATGCTATATTCTTCTCTCGATTTCACATCTCACTATGGACCTACCACTTCTCGTAAGCCTATACAGGGGACCCCTGCAAGCATAGCTACCTCTCACAATCAAGGGGATGCATGTTGCCGCCCTCCTAATCGGCGGTGGTCAGGGAGTAGGGTGGGGCCGGCTAACTCAAAGACATGCAATTTGCCTCCCATCTACTTCCCCCTTCCCCATCGAGTAATAGCAGTGTATACTATGGCCAGCACTCAACCCCCCCCGCCCACAACCCCCACCCCCACCCCTGATGGCCAAAGACCCTGCCAATACGGTCGGGGGGGAGCAAGCCAACTATCTGAGTTGGTTGGCACTAACCAGGCCCAGGCGGCTAATTCAACCCATGACCTCCTGCATGCCACTTGCTCCTCCACATCAGTTTTACCAGTATGCCCCCAAGTTATGGGGGGTATTTTGCAAATTATCCTTTATATATTGTTTACGTCATAATTCATAATTCATAATTCATCGAATTTATTGTTTCGGTTTGGCCATACGTCTTCTCTAACGCCTTGGTCTTCCGAAGCCGGGCGGTGGTGGCGGCGGGCGTGGACTGCCACGTGTCCTTTTGTCGCACGTCTTCGTCCCGCCCCTCCCCTCCCCTCCCCTCCCTGTTCTCTTCCCGCCACGTGGCGTGTGGAATACTCGCACGCCTGCGCGCGCGAGAGAGAGAGAGAGAGGAGTCTCTGTCCTGTGGTGTGTCAATTTGCTACGCGGCGTGTGACTTTTTCGCCTATCCACGTGTCAGTCTGCTGCGCCACGTGTCGTGTGATTTTTCGCCTGCGGTGTGTCAGAAGTTGCCACGTGGCGTGAGAGTGGAAACTTCCGCCTGCGACCTGCAGCTCGTTGAACTTCTGGCGATGGCGGAAGTCGCTGCTGACGTGGCAGCACCAGCGACTACTGCTGCTGACGTGTCGCAGAACGGAGATGGGGCAGAGCGCGCCGCCACGTCAGCAGGTGACACCGTGACATCGGCCCAGCTGGTCACACCGTGGGAAGTGTCGGGCGGCGCTGATGGGAAGATTGATTACGACAGATTAGTAGAACAATTTGGTTGTCAGAAAATCGATCAAAGTGTGATTGATCGGATCGAACGGCTGACAGGTCAGCGCGCCCATCCGTTCTTACGGCGAGGAGTCTTCTTCTCGCACAGGTGATGTGGCAAATCGTCGTTTTCTTCGTCTTCTTCTTCTTCTTCTTCTTTTTTTTTTTTTTTTTTTTTTTTTTTTTTCGTCCTAGATGACCCAGTATACTACTCGAGAGGGCAAGCCCTTTATGCTCATCAGACTGATGCATGTAAAACTTTGGCGGTGTCGAAAGCCGATCTGGGAAGTGCCAGGAGCTCAACCTGGCCCAAAAAAAAGGGGTCATCTAGCCCCCTCTCAGGAGTGCCAGGAGCTCAGCCTGGCCCCCAAAAAAAGGGTCATCTAGCCCCCTGAGGAGTGCCAGGAGCTCAGTCTGGCTCAAAAAAAAACGCGTCGGGGGCAATGTGCGCGTTTCTACTAAAAACTGGACATGTTTCAAATGAGTAAATACTAAATATGATTATGCGTGGTGGTTGCATGTGCGAGAAGCAGTCTATGGCTACTGTTTCCATTTTTTTTTTTTTTTTTTTCATTGCACCGGCCATTCTTACGGCGGGGAGTGTTCTTCTAGCACAGGTGATGTGGCAAATCGTCGCTTTCTTCGTCTTCTTTTTTATTTTTATTTTTATTTTTATTTTTACCCCAAAGGTGTAGTAGTTTGTCGTCGTCCTCTGGTCGTCGTTATCGTTGTTGTTTTCTGGTGCACCGGCCATTCTTACGGCGAGGGGTGTTCTTCTCGCACAGGCGACGTGGCAAATCGTCGCTTTCTTCGTCCTTTTTTTTTTTTTTTTCATTTTGGGCGGCGAGGAGTCTCTTCTCGCACGGGTGACGTGGCAATTGTCGTCTTCTTCGTCCTCTTTTCTGTTCGTCGTAATTTTTTTTTTTTTTTTCGATCTCCAGCCCATCGATCGCCTCTCGTCGAAGAGTTGTCCTCCCCCTTCCCCCCCCCCGTCCCCCCGGCCCCCCCTTCTCTTCCTTCCCCCTCCCGCCGCCTTTCGGGGAATGTGCGTGTTGTGAGCAGCAGTGGCTATGGGCCTCGCCCCACTACACAACATTGTACGTGCATTTGGACGCTTTGTGGACGAAGTACATTGAAAACGTTGGACTCGTCCGAATGCACCAGGTCCAGAAAGCGTCCAAATGCATTTAGTGTTGTGTCGGGGAGCGCGGCCCTATGTCTGTGCACGACTATGAAGTCTCTATTGAATTCTTTTTGTTTTTTTCCTTCTTCAACAGACTAGTTTTTATCTTATGCATGGATGCGCGGCGATTGGCTTCGCTCTTGCAGACCTTCTCTTTCTCTCTCTGTGTTTCTCTGTCTCTCTGTCTCTCTCTCCCTCTCCTT